CTCTCTCTCCATGCCCCCCCTCTCTCTCCATGTTCCCCTCTCTCTCTCTCCATGTTCCCCTCTCTCTCTCCATGTTCCCCTTCTCTCTCTCTCCATGTTCCCCTCTCTCTCTCTCCATGTTCCCCTCTCTCTCTCTCCATGTTCCCCTCTCTCTCTCTCCATGTTCCCCTCTCTCTCTCTCATGTTTCCCCCCCCTCTCTCTCTCTCTCCATGTTCCCCCCCTCTCTCTCTCTCCCATGTTCCCCCCTCTCTCCCTCATGTCCCCCCTCTCTCTCTCCATGTTCCTCTCTCTCTCTCCATGTTCCCCCTCTCTCTCCCCCCTTTCCTACCTACTCTCTCCCCCATGTTAATGTAATTGACTGATTAGTGATATTATTATCGCTCTGGATCCAGGAATATCCCAATAAACACAATGAACCCCGGACTCACCCTCCGCTCCCAGCAGCCAGCTCTGCACTGAGTGCACTGAATGACGTCACAGCGGAAATGCCGATTCCAGGAGGCGGAGTCTATGCGTTTACTGAGACGCTGAGAAAGGAAGTGACGTCACGGAGCTCGATCCGCCCGGCGCCATGATGGATGAGGGCAAAGGTCTTATTACTCTGTAGGAGCAGTATGGGCAATAGGCAGAAAGTATAACATTAGTTAGACGGGATGGGGAAGGGCTACATGTAGAAGGCTAGAATGGGATGTATGAATGTGGGCGGGGTTATATAGCAATGTGGGCGGGGCTATGTATCAATGTGGGAGGGGTTATGTATCAATGTGGGAGGGGTTATATAACAATGTGGGCGGGGTTATGTACAAATGTGGGAGGGGTTATATAGCAATATGGGCGGGCTTATGTAGCAATGTGGGAGGGGTTATATAGCAATATGGGCGGGGTTATATAGCAATGTGGGAGGGGTTATATAGCAATGTGGGTGGGGTTATGTAGCAATGTGGGCGGGGTTATGTAGCAATGTGGGAGGGGTTATATATCAACGTGGGCGGGGTTATATAGCAATGTGGGAGGGGTTATGTATCAACGTGGGAGGGGTTATATAGCAATGTGGGAGGGGTTATGTATCAACGTGGGAGGGGTTATATAGCAATGTGGGCGGGGTTATATAGCAATGTGGGCGGGGTTATGTATCAATGTGGGAGGGGTTATGTATCAACGTGGGAGGGGGTATATAGCAACGTGGGCGGGGTTATGTAGCAATGTGGGAGGGGTTATATTGTACTTTTGTCATTGGTATTTGGCAGCCTCCTGGGATATATTACCCTTAACCCCTTAAGGACTGGACTGTTTTTGCGATGTTGTACATTTGCGACCAGGCATATTTTTACACTTTTGTGGTGTTTGTGTTTGGCTGTAATTTTCCTCTCTCTCATTTAATGTTCCCATACAAATTATATATTGTTTTTTTCAGGACAAAAGGGGCTTTCTTTACATACCATTATTTATATAATCTCATGTATTTTAATTTAAAAAAAATACAAAAATCTGATGAAAAATTTAAAAAAATACATGTTTTTTGACTTTTACTTGAAAAATCTTTTACTCATCTACAAAAGCGAATGAAAAAATCTGCTAAATAGATTAAAAATTTTGTCCTGAGTTTAAAAATACCTAGTGTTTACGTGCTTTTTTGCTTTTTTTTGCATGTTATAGGGCTATAGGTACAAGTAGGATATTGCGGTTTCAAAACATACATTTTAAAATTTATCAATAGTGACATTGTAACACTATTATCTGTCATAAATCTCTGAATAACACCCACATGTACATATTTTTTTTAAAGTAGACAACCCAGGGTATTCAATATGGGGTATGTCCAGTCTTTTTTAGTAGCCACTTAGTCGAAAACACTGGCCAAAGTAAACATTCATATTTGTTTGTGTGTGAAAAAAGTAAAAAAACTAAATTGAACGCTAATTTTGGCCAGTGTTTGTGACCAAGTGGTTACTAAAAAAGACTGGACATACCCATTTGCAATACCTTGGGTTGTCTTCTTTTGCAAATGGTATGCCATCATGGGGGTAATTCTCATTCCTGGGCTACCATACGCTCTCAAAGGCAACGTAACCAACCTGGCCATTTTCAATGTAAAAATATTTGACCCATATATTTGGCCTTGTAACTTTCAAAAATGCTATAAAACCTGTACATGGGGGGTACTGTTTTACTCGGGAGACATCGCTGAACACAAATAGTAGTGTTTAAAAACTGGAAAACATATCACAACAATTATATCATCAGTAAAAGTGCTGTTTGTGTGTGAAAAATGCAAAAAAAGTAACTTTCACTGACAATATCATCGCTGTG